AGATAACCCCCTTCAAGGAGTTTAGACCCCTTGCAAACCCTAAACCCCATATAACCCCCTTTAGGGGGTTTAGACTTTAGCTCAAATAAATGCGATGTACAAACAGCCAGTCCCAGTTGTTGATCCTTTCCTCGCCATTCTCGGGCGGGGCATTCCTGAACGCAGCAAATCCACACCGAACCCTACAATGCTAGCAATAATAATAGTAAGACTACTCGTGATAACAATAATACTGATAATAATAGGAAGAACAATAATAATGGATGTACGAGTCGTAGCAACAGTAATCATAAGAGTACTCATAATATTACAGGTTGACATGAACGGTGCGGCACCTGCCTCTGCACCCAGATTGAATGCAGGGATACGGAATCCGGCTTGAATATCCACTGCACACCGCCACGCCTGCCGGGCAATGTACTGCAGAACCATGGACCTCTAATTTAGGAAGCGGTTTGGCCCCAGAAGCCTAAAAACGGTCAAAAAGGCCATCACTCTACAGTATACCCCATAGAAGCCCCATAAAACTCCTACAGTACATAACCCTATAGAAGCCCGATGTAACCCTTATACAATCCCCTTGGGAACTTTGGGCAAGCCTGAATACTGAGCTCGACACTGTCGATTCCTGATGCGCTTCTCTGTATTCACCCGCAGCTCGAAGATCACTCTGTGATAGACTTTGTCACCTGTACCCAGACCCCTGGTAGGATCGGTTTAGGGTTTAGCGTTTAGGGTTTAGGGTTTAGGGGTACCCAGACACCTGGGAGGATCTGTAAAGTAGAACCCCTATCATGGTACCCTATACTACTATTGAGGGGGGGCAATTTCTAGGAACTTTTAAGGGGGTTCTACTTTCTAGATCCGCCCCGGGGTCTGGGTAGTAGCAGTAACATTACTAGTTATACTCAGAAGTGTAATACTAATAATAAGAATAATCAGAATAATACACATAGTCATAAACAAGAATAATACTCATAACAATAATAACAATAATAGTAGTGTGCATCGAGACGGCTTGGATCTGCGACGGTTGCTCGGCTTCCAGCAAAAAAGGATTTGAGGCCGCGCATACCAGCAGGCTGTAGACAGCTTTGGTGAGCAATAAACCTGGCTGCTGTTGAGGGTACAGAGTTACAGTCCCCCTTAAGTAGATAGAATATGGGGTATATGGGGATCTTGTTATGATGTATCCAAAGCCATATTCTATCTACTCACGGGGGACTGTAAGGCTTAACGGCTTAGGGTGTAGTGTTTAGGGTTTAGGGTTCAGAGTTTAGGGTTGTGTGCTGGCCCCAATTGAGCCAGTCTAGCTCCAGGCACCCAGAAATCGTGACCCTTCTCCCGGTCACTGGACTCCAGGAGAACCCCAGACTCCAAGACCGACCACACCTGGGAAAGCAAGAAACGATCGAAAATCAGGTGGACTCCCTATAAAGCCGTGAGTAACTCTATCTGAAACTTACACAATCCCCACATAGCCCTATACAACTCTGTATAAATCCTATGAACCCGAGATAATCCCCATATATGCCTATGTAACTCTATATGGTCTATATGGTGGATACAATCCCATATACGTCATCCTGCCGCGCAGACGGCAGCTTCAGCACACTGAGGCCTCCACCGAATACCACCATGTCCCGTGAAAAGCTCTCTCCCAGGACGGCTGACTCTGCACAACTGGGTCCTGAAGCTTTGTCTGGCTTTAGGGTTTAGGATTTAGGTGGGCATGGTCATGATTGCTACTATTCTTATATTACTCGAATTTCTATTCTCGATATGAATACCATTCTTGCTATGATCCTATTATTACTAGTATCTATATTATTGTTATTCTTGTTACTATTGTCAGTATTGTTGCTGTTATTACGCTTATTATCATTATTATTATTACTGTTATCACTCTTACTACTACTATTACTTTGTTACTGTCATTAACACCATTCCAGGCTTTCAGACTCCTTGGTGTACCGGTAGATCTTCCATCCCTGCCAAGTTTTGCTCAGGCCCCAGCACCCTAAACTGGGTTGCTGCTAAGGAACTTAAATTAAGTTACCAGAATGGGTATATAGTAACTTATATGGTTTCCCAAACATAGTCTAGTAACTGAAGTTAAGTTCCCTAAACCCTAAACCCTTAACATCAACCCAGTAAACCCTAAACCGCACATCCAACGATCCGATGGCCTTTTTGCAGCCGTCTTCGGCCAGCACTCCCTGAAGTTCTCGCGCCTAGGTTTAGGGTTTAGGGTGTAGGGGCCGCCAACAAGATCATAAACCTTTAGAGTTCAAGGTCTTGCTCTCGGGCTGGGTTGAGGGCTTAGCAGGTAGGGTTTAGGTATAGCATCACCAGCCCTCGACTCGGAATATCTGTATAAGAACTGAGGTCATGCACCAACTAAGACTACTCATAAAAGAACAGCTGTAGCAACGATAATCGAAAGAGAGCCTAAATGATAGTTTCCCTAAACCCTACACCCTAAACCTAAAACCCTAAACCCCTAAACCCTAAACCTTGGGTACTGCCCCCACCCAGTAACAGTCTATATTCGGGCTCCTATTAAGGGCTATATATAACCATATTATACTTATTATCCAACTGTTACTAAGGGGGGGGCAGTACTGAACCTAAACCCTTAACCCTAAAACCCTAAACTCCTAAACCCTAAACCCCTAAACCCTAAACTCTAAACCCTAAAACCCTAAGCCCTAAAACCCTAAACCCTACACCCTAAACCAGGTAGCTCCTGCCTTCAGCCACGCATCGAAGAGTGGAGTGAAATCCTTCCGAGAGCCCTTGGGCTGGGCAGGGATAGCCCCTGCCCTGTGGGGCTTGCACACCTCCCAAGAGGGTTTAGGGCTTAAAGAGGCTAATACAAGGAACACACATATAGGGATATTTCAGGATTATATGGAGTTTCTATGGGGTTGGGATTCATATGGGCTTTCTATGCAGCTAAGGATCATATGGGGCTTATATAGGGTTACATAAGGACCATTTACGTTTTCTAAGGCTTAATATGGACTATATGGGGCTTATGTAGAATCATATATAGACCAGATGGGGCTTATACAGGGTTATATCAGGATCATATGGGCTCATATAGGCCTATATGAGGATTCTATCTGGTCTATATAGGGTTATATGGCACATATTCTAGTTACTTATCTATACATCTGTATATGGGGATTATGCGCTAAATGTACTTAGCTTGACGGAATGCGGCAGCCTCGCGCCACTTCAGCACCAAGTCCTTGCAAAACGCTTTCAGAAGCCTAATGTGAGCCCTATAAGTAACAACCCTAAATTGAAGCTAGACAACCCAATACAATCCCTCTCTGACCCTATATAATCCTCTTAGAAGCCCTCTATAAACCTGTATAAACCCTAAATAAGCCCATACACCCATACAACCCTTATGTAACCTATAAAGACGATGTAATCCCTACATAACCCTAAATGAACCCATACAATCCCCATGTAACCACACACTCGCGGCTGTGCGGAGTCCTCACGCCCATTGGAGGCGCCCGCCAGGGCCTGCCTTACGTGTTCATCCAGGTACTCCTGCGCTCACGAACTAGATCAGCATGCCACGAGACAATAGCATCATATGGGGTTTCTGTAGAGTCGTGTAGGGACTGTATGTCGTTTCTATAGGTTTATCTAGGGAGTATATGGGGTTCCTATGGGGTCATACAGGTCTAATGTGGGGTTCCTATGGGGTTATCTAGGGTTATCTATAGCTCAAGACGTTACCTGGTCATAAGCTGTGAGTTTCGCTACCTGGCTCCCGAACAACCGGATGACGATTCAGAATGCACCCTGGCGAGCGACTGAATGCGGGCCATGAGTAATGTTCTTTTGCTAGCTGCCCCAAGTAAGATGTTCTGGTACTGTAGAATACCACCACCAGAAGGAGAACTGTATTGTGGACTGTAGCATCCCATGGAATTTACATGTTGTACCCCTGGGCAGCCGTCTTCAGGTCGGCTGAAGGGACCGCCGCGGGCAACTTTGCTGCAGGGGGGCTGATGTCGCCCTTTGGTAGCAGGCCAGATCTCTTGTCATGAATTTCCTTGGCAAAAGGTCACAAATCTGTAGAAGTGTTTGCTTCTCGTGGAATACTGCAAGTGGGTGTGACCCTCATCAGTGAGTGCACGTGTCGCTACCGTCAACCCATGCTAGTTGCAGCGCCTACAAGTACTGCAGCAAGGTTCCTACAGTAAGACATGGTGCTGTTACTTCAGCTAGAAACTTTGAAATCTTGTGGCAGTCGACTCTGGTATTTGCATGCTCAGGGTTTGCCGGAGATAGACAACTTCTGCACAAGATCGACCTCTGCACCTTGCCCATTGCCAGCTACTTTTACCTTAGAGGGTTCCCAAAATGTGGAGTTCCTTTTTGGGGGGTCCCATAATGAGCATCATAGCCTATTGGTGTCTATATCGGAGTTCCCTGTGTAGGGAAACTACTATTTGCAGGGGGGGCAATTGTTGCCCCCTGCATCCTTGTGTAGTTTACTTTTCTTGTGAGCCCTCAGCCGGATTGGGGTCCTCGTCCTCCTCTTCCATGATGCTAGGGCTTTAGGGCTTTCGGGCTTAGTGTTCAGGGCTTGGGGTTTGGGGTTTAGGGTTTTCGATCTAAGATTTAGGGTTCGGGGTTTAGGGCTTGGGGTTTAGGATCTAGGGGTGTCGCCCATGGCTTCATGCATGTAGCTCTGAATGCAAGGCATAGTTTCTGTACTTATGATGCACGCTTAGATCAGATGTCATGTCAAGTCGACAGTCCTTGAGCTAGGCTATGCAGGGAGAAGCTGCGCAAGACCCAGTAAAGCAAACTCAGCGCCTCAGATGGCCTCAATTCACGAATAAGAGAGAGTGCTAACAATAAGAACTGCAGTACTAATATAAATAGCAAAACGACTAGTATACAAAACATAGAAATAGGGCCGCCTTTGCCCACATTTTCTGTGCTCGGCTGGTGGCTCGCCGAGTTCAGTGACTCGGGAGTCCCGGGAGAGTCCGATCTCGGCGCTCGCTGCGCTCGGGGATCCCACGGCTGTCCTGAGCAAGTTCCGGGTGTTACAGCACACCAACACGAAGATAAAACCCGCACCGGCCTCTGGCCCCTCATTCACTCGTCCACCTGTGCAGCATGACTTGCACGCCACACAAGAACGTTGCTGTACTTCCAGTTGAGGTGAAGGAGGTGAGATGAGGTGAGGTGTCCGGACTCATGGCAGACATGACATGCTAAGCTGGCACGCTCGGGGCTTCTTCTGCACTTGCTGGGTTCAGGAGAATCATCGTCATCCATAACCACCTCCGCTGCTTCAGGAGAGGAACACATTCATGCGCGCAGGACGGATGTTGGGCCCTTGTTTATCTTCGGTGTAGCACAAGCCAAGAACGAAAATACACGTTTGCGCCTGCGCGCTTGGGCCTGACAACGTCGCAGCATGAGCATGCTAGAAACACCAAGAGATGCTCAAGCAGCGTTTCAAGCACTCAAGCTCAGGAAAGGGCTTCGGCTTCTGCTACGTGAGTCACCGGAACGCTCCGTCACCTTGCGTGAG